TGTGGATTATTGTGATGTTTTTATCAGCTGTTTGGACGCTCATTCTGACGGCACCCATTCACTGCAGAGCATCCATTGCTGAGACACTGATGCAATGCTACATTTCTCCAAACCTGATGAAGAAACAAACTCATCTAGTTAATGCAGGGCTGTCCAAACTCGGTCCTGGAGGGCCGGTGTCCTGAAGAGTTTAGCTCGAACCCCAAATAAACACAGCTGAACCAGCTAATCAAGCTCTTACTAGTCATACTAGAAACTTAAAGGCAGGTGTGTTGAGGCAAGTTGGAGCTAAACTCTGCAGGACACCGGCCCTCCAGGACCCAGTTTGGGCAGCCCTGAGTTAATGGATAATGCTGCTAGTTAATGAGATTCTCAACACCTGTATAAACTGGAGATTTCATGCATGCACTAGAAATCACCGAAGCACCATCTGATTCAGACACATGCAGACTTCAGTCATCATTCAGACCGTTCTGTTAGAGTCCAGATGCGTTTGTGGATCTGCAGATGTTTCTGTGTGTCGCTGTGTGTTTGTGTTGATTCTGGTGCAGCACAAACCACACACAGCAGCACAAGTGTGACATTTCTCATCTCAGTAGGTTGAGTGTGTGTGTGTGTGTCTGTGGTTTCTCTCATCTGGTTGTGGTTCAGTGTGTTGATGCTTTTCTGGCGTGCAGTGCAAGCACGCCGTAAACACGTCGCATCTGAAGTGTTGCGTTCTGCATTTTTGGTTGACAGCAGCATCTGAGACCAGATGAACACACACACACACTCAAACTCAAAAAGACCTGCAAGATGAGCTGTAGGACAGAATATCTCAATTATTTCTCATAAACAGCAGTGAGATTAAATGGAGAGCAAATATGAACTAGTTTGGGGAGGTTTGCACACATAAACACACACTCATGAACCACTGCGTCTGCTTTATCAGCAAGTGTGTTCCGCAGCAGATCTCTGACACCATCAACACACCACAAACATTTCTGAGAAGTGTGTGTTTGTGTGTGTGTGTGAGAGAGTGTGTGTGTGTGTGTGAAAGAGAGAGAGAGAGTGTGTGTGTGTACACTGGCAGTATAATATCAGCTGAACCCTATTTGACTTTGCACATCAACAGTATCATTTTATGCACAGAGAATGATTAACATGACACGGACTAAAGACACAATGTATATAAATGACATCAGATGTGATTTATGAGTTGAACATGTGACAAACACTGGGAGATGCATTCGATTTAGAAATACTAGAAACAAGTTAAAATCTGATGTGATGTTAAAGTGTTGATGGTAATATTTGCTTGTCATGTTTTGAACAATTTAAAACTGACATTAAAGCCTATTTGGAAAAAAAAAAAACATAATATTATTACTTACCTATAAGGCCCTTAATGGTTTAGCTCCTGCGTACCTAACTAGTCAGATGATGCCAACCCTGAAACAACATAAACTACCAAATTTTGCTACAAGTTTGATTGCAACATATAATCATTGCTGTTAATAGTGTTCATCGTCTGTTTGATTACGTCATTAACTGAATTTTACTGTACATTTCTGCCATATGTACATCAATTTGACATAGTCACCACTGATAAGCTACTACTAAATATTGTAGAAACTTAATTTTCTGTAAAGCTGCTTTGCAACGATTTGTATCGTGAAAAGCGCTATACAAATAAACTTGAATTGAATTGAATTATTAAGAACCATACATTTTTTATACACAGTGGCAGTCAAAAGTTAAAAGTTTGAATAATTAAACATTTTAATGTTTTTTTTTAAGGAGTCTCTTCTGCTCACCGAGGCTGCATTTATTTGATCAAAAATGGTACAAATAGTGAAATATTTTTACAATTTAAAACAGCAGTTTTTTATGTGAATATCTATTACAGTTTTTTACGATTGCTTACACACTAAAATTAAACTTTTCCAACAATTAGCAAAACCTTACACTCAAGGAGCAAAACACAAGGCTAGATTTGCACAACTGTAAGCACATTGTCAGCTTCACACTATTTGCAAAACATTACACACAGTGATTTGCAAAACACTAAACACACTTGTATACATCAGACACAGAAGTATATCATGATGTCACTTCCTTGCAATTCCAAAGCACTGACTGTCAAATTACCACACCTATGAGCCAATCTGTTAAACACAGCCATCAGGTGCACAAACACATGATTGCTAAATTGTAGACACACCAATCAGGTTTAAGCACTATAAAAATGCAGCAGGTAGGTTCACCTGCCTTCAACCAAAATATTGTGAAATATTATTACAATTCAAAACAGTTGTTTTCTATGTGAATATCTGTTAAACTGTAATTTATTTCTGTGATGCGCAGCTGTATTTTCAGCATCATTACTCCAGTCTTCAGTGTCACATGATCCTCAGAAATCATTCTAATATGCTGATTTGCTGATCAAGAAACATTTCTGATTATTATCAATGTTGAAAACAGTTGTGCTGCACAATATTTTTGTGCAAACCGTGACACATTTTATTTTTCTGGATTCACACATGAATAGAAAGTTCAAAAGAACAGCATTTATTTGAAATAGAAATATTTTGGAACATTATAAATGTCTTCACTGTCACTTTTCATCAATTTAATGCATCCTTGATGAA